TTGCAAGGAAATACCAGTCCTTGGAGAGGGACATCGTGCTCGGGAGGGTGGAGGAATAGTGCAAGATAGGCAGATCCCTGATGAGATGGATTGACTCAGTGATTGGGGTAATGGGAATAGGTGTATCAGAGACAATAAGGTTAGCCCAGGATATACCAGGGTTCAAATCTTTTCTCCATCTATCATGATGCTGCCAATTGGCCCAGTGGTGGGAATCTTCATTTTCTTAGTGTTGAGCTTCAATTGATAATTATAAATAAATAGCACAGTTGCACAAAACCTTCTTAAATGGCAAATATTTATCACATAGAACAAATGTCACTTATGTAGGGAAAATATCTGACTAATTGGATCAATCCATTTTACTATTTGTAAGTTATACTTCAAACATGGTGAGAAAAGATTTTATTTTAATATGAGTTAGTTGGAAATTGTTTCACTACAGATTCTGAAACAGCAGGCCTGGGGCAGATTATAATCAATATGCATTTCTGAAAATTTTCCAGGTGATATAATTTCTATAAATATTTTGATCATCCTTAGAATAGTAAAGTTTTAATGAAGGGATTTAAAAAATATCCTCAAAAACACAGATATCATTTAATATGTGACAACTTTACCATTAAATATAACTATAATACCTATAATACTATAGGTATATTTTATCTACTTGAAATAATTAAAAATCAATTTCTATTAGTAAAATAATGTGCAAAATCCAATGTTCAATGATAGGTATAACATTAGATTTATCTTTCTTTATTCATTTTTCCAATATATTTATATGTTTAGGTCTTTAGAATAATTTTTCAGTATAGATTTTTTAATTTAGTATGCTAGAATAAAAAATTACTGGGAAGATAATTTTGTTACCAATCTGTGAAAGATTCTTGTATAAAGACACAAAAAGAATATAAAATAGAGATACATATAGGATGTGCAGTAGGGTGTAGTAGTAAAAAACTATAGAAATTTGGAAATAGCTTAGTGTTTTTTTACATTATTTTGTGTTCAGTTCTTACTAATTTTCCCCCCTTTATTTTTGTCTAGTAAATCAGAACCTTATTACTGGTTCAGCAAGAAGCCAGAGCGCCACCTAGGGAAAAATCTCAGACACAGATGTAGAAAGTGAGTTTTTCATCCCACTCGAATTATTTCAGGCAATTTGCAGATGAAATTAGCCAGATAATATGAAATTGTAGCTCTGATAGCTTAGTGCTAAGAATCTGCACTGCAATACCAAAAGTACACTGTTCAAAGCTGCCAACTTCTCCATGGGAAATGGATGGATAATATCCTGTGTGATTGATTACTGCCTCTGAAAACTTGGTACACACAGCAACAATAACATACTCCAATTAATGTATAGTCTTGTTAATTTATTATACTCTATTTTGAATCACAATAGTCACTAATAGATATTTATAGTTTTTTTAGTTACACTTTTTGTCATTATTTGCACTCAACCCTAAAAATACATTGATCACTATATAGAATAATGAAATTTAAATTTATGAATCTGTAAATTCAACTAAACTAATAATTGTTAGAATTCATGTTTTTTATTTTAATATGGTTGAATCTATTGTTGAATGTGGAGGAATTATTCTGAAATTTATTGAAATAATTTAAACTATGTGAATGCATAAAGATGCCTAAGCATAGGGGTAACTATGGATATCAATGGAGAAATTAAGATATACGAGTAGTCCAGATCCTCTTTGCCTTCCTGTGGGACAGCTATGCAATGGGACAGCATTATTTTTCTGAAAATTCCCCTAGACTAGGTCTTGAACTTCTATTTCATCCTAAAGGCCTTCTGTCCTGGGGTTTCCTAGTTTCTGGATCCACAGAACAGAACAGAACACAGGAACCCAGGACTTAGAGTCAACAGCCAAACACAATGTACCTGCTACCCAAGAGAAGCCTGAGATGTCCAAGAAGAATGTGAACACCCAGGACCAACCTGGTACCAACTTTAACCTGCAGATGCCTGCACCCACCCATACCAGCTTCTGGCACCAAAGCTAGCAGCCCGAACTGGGTACGACGAGGATCCTTGCCACCATTCCTCTGATGCCCTCCACCCAAACAGGAGGCAACTCCCAGCTTGGGGAAGATGTTTTTGCAAGTGAATTCAATGTCCCTCACTGCAGTCCTCAGAGTTTTCTTGTCCACAGGGGTGGTAGCAAAGCTGGTATTCCCTGTACTGTCCTCTTTAAATAATTGATCTTACCATGAAGCCACTCTTTGTGCTTCTTCCTGAGGAGCTCATGTTTGACCCTAGCAATGCTTTGTAGAGTTTGCTCTTGTCTGTCAATAAAATTATCTCCAAATGGAGGAAGGGGAAATATGTGAAGAGTGATCAGAACAGATTCATAGTTAAGAAGATATTTTTGTAATTATGAGATGAGAATAAATAAACTAAATATTTAAGTGAAGATGATACTGTATTCAGATAGTTTGATCCTTCAAAGAAAAACTATCTTTAAATAATGATAAGAAAGTAACACTGGAAAGTGAGACAAGAAAAATCATATTCTCATCTGAGGTATCATAGGTATGAATAAAATATTCTCTCCATATGATGAGTTGTAGAGAAAACTATGCTGTAGAATGTTTTCAAGAAGACTTTGTTTCATAGTGATCTTTTATAACAGTATAAGTGCTCAGTCAAGTTTCTTTGTTTTATCTTTATGAGGGCAAATGGCCAATTCTTCCTCCCAAGAAGTCTATGGGTTAAATTGGCCAAGTCAGGAGATGCCTAGAGTAAAAGAATGTAACCTAAAGAATATATTGGGGCAAAATAATACTTAGTTTTAGGATGTGTGTGTACTTGAAAAACCTTAATTATTCCACTGACACTCTTTTCTGACATCTTACCTTGTGGCTCTGTCAACATGATTTTCCACTTGTAAAACTCAAATAAAAGCTATTAGGACTACAGGTTGAGAGGATACTCAGTCATGAGTTCCACTCCTCCTACTTCTTGAATAAATAAAGTCTTGTGTAGTTCACTCCATCACCCAGCACTTTCTTGTTGGTTAGAGAAGTGCAATATATGGTGACCTTGGGGTGCTGACTTTGATGTGATGTGAGAGGAACAGCAATCAGAATCTCATGGACCTGAAAGTTAAACACTTTGGGCATAATTTTTTTTAATTATTTATTCATTGTTACACCTTTTCTTCCATTCCCTCTCCTCACCCTCCAACAGCCCCTCCATTGTTCCAGACGTATAAAAAGTATACTGCCTAATCATATATTCCTTTCAGACAGTTCTTCCCCTTGTCCAATCTAATGCAGTGTTCATTACATATTCACTCTTTACTCATTCTCTTCCCAACTCTTTTTCCCCATCTGTCCTATTTTATAACTTATCATCTCAGTAAGAAATAGTCCCAGCGAACACTATTTCATCTCTGTAAGAGACAATGCTATTGAACACGCTGCATGTGGTTAGTTATTTAAAAGGGGATTTTTGAAGATGGGGCAAGAGTAAACCAAAGACCAAAGGATATCTATTAATACCCTTCAACACCTCTTGTGCTCTAGGATCCAAAGTGTTTCAAACATTCTCAGTTTGCTTTCAAGATCATTGATCCTGGTTTCTGGATTCAGAGACTTTAGATACTGAGCTTTGAGAACAAGCAAGTAGAGAGTTTCTAAAAGACTAAAAGAGAAATTAGTGCCCCTATTAGTGCAGTAGCTATTTGGAGTCTAGTAAGAACTACTCTTTGCCTTTTACATGTTGAAGAAATCAGCAAAGATACCTTTCAGCTTTCTCTCCTAGTGCACCCTCAGTTGCACAGTGAAAGCCAAAGGACAACTTTCCATCACAGCTGCCCTCTCTAAAGCTAAAATTTTCCATAGTCTGAAAAGATCTAAAGAGTTAATATACCTTTCTTTAAGAAGCCTGAAGTGAAGTGTGTTGTTTGAGACATTTGTGCATGGGAGAATCTACCTTATTTAACAGCAATACCCAAGATTCAATATCAATACTGTGGACCGCTAACTGCCATGGGCTCCCAAAGACAAAGACAGATCAACAAGAACAGGAAAGACTAGGCCATTAGAAGACAGTGTCCAGATTGTCCTAAATTAAGACAATCAGCAGACTTCTAAAGTAGTAATAGTAGCACTAGCAGAATATAGCTGATGAGGTCCAAAGAACTGTATTGCTTCAACTGATAGGAATCAGCATCCCCCATCCTAGCAGTCAAACCCCAAGTTGCTGTTAATGTGAAAAGTAATATAATCAAGTTCTTGATTAATGCTAAAATAGTTATCTCAGCTTGACCTTTTCTTTTTTTTTTTTTTTACCACCACAATTTTATTCTTAAATGCTCAATCTAAACTCAAGTTAGGTGGACAGACTGAAGGAATGCAGAAGTAGAAGTCTTCATTCCCCCCCTCAGTGTGAAGGAGCATAGGGCCCACTGTGCTGAGGGAGAGATGACAACCAAGAAGGCAAGCAAGGTGTGCAGAGCAAGGGGCAGGAGAACAATCAGTTACTCAAAGTCCTTTTCATCTGTGGGAACAGGCAGAAAATGCAGTCTGGCCCATTTTTTGTGAATGGGGAAGAACAAGCTCAGGTAGGGGTCCTGAGATTCCCTCCCCTCCCCCAAACCCTGCAACCTTGTCTAGTTCTCCATGCTTGCTCACAAAACAAGGGATCTGCCATATTCATTGGTGGTGGCAGCTCAGTTCTCTACAATGGTTCAAATTGAATGGTAATGAAAGGGAGTGGGCCACATGAGCACATGTAAGCAGCACACCCACGGAGGCAAGCATTCTCAGCACTGGCCAGGGCTTCTGAGGGAGGCATACGCCTGGGCCACATGTGTCTGCTGCATACCGATAGGGGCTGGCATTCCCCAGCACCAGCCATTGTATGCCAGGTTCCTGAGCAATGCTGACATTAGCACACCCAGGTGCCAAATGACTAAGGAGTGAGAAGGATAGCAGAGGTCTTCATGCTTCCTTTATGCAGTCAATCCTCAATGTTGATGTTCCTGTTCTGATCTTCCCAGGAACTCCCTCAGTATCTGTGGAAGCTCAGGGCTCTTATAGATGTACTTGTGTCTATAGCCAAGGTCTGAGTGAAAGGGTATAAACTGAACTTTGAAGTTCCGGAAGCTCCTAGATGGTGCAGCAATGTTATAAAGCTTTCTTCCGAGCTGGAAGGGCACAACTGGGTCATCCTCGGCGTGCAGAATGAGCAAAGCGCAGGAGATGTGCTTCACATTCTCATCATTTGCAAATCTAATTCCACTGCTTGTAATGGGATCAAGGAAAAACCAGTCAAATCCAGGGAAGTATCGATATATCACTGAAAACGGATGGCTTTTTGCTTCTTCACGGATATTGGTGAATGGAGATTCCAATATAAGAGCATCTGGAGGTGTCTCTCGCTCATAAAGGCGCCGCACCAAATTTGTTGCAACCCCAGTGCCCAGAGAGTGCCCCCAAATGTACACAGCGTTGTCACCACTTCTTGCTTTGATCCAGTCAAAAACATGGAGTGCATCATATGTCATGCCTCGCTCAGATGGCGTTCCTGCTGAGTCACCCCAACCTCTGTAATCAAAGGTGACGACATGATAACCAAGGGAACTCAGCACCTTGTAAAGCTCCACACGGTGGTCCTCTCCCCTGGTACCTGCATTTCCATGCAGATATAGTATGACAGGGTGGTTAGAAGCCAAGGCATCCTCATACCACATCTGGTCCTTTCCTTGTGCATTCTTCCACCAGACAGCTGGGACAGTGTGCCAGACACCTATTGTCACATCTTCCTCTGGCTGGAGATAATAATTACAGGTGTGATTCAAACCTTGATCCTGAGGCTTCTTCAAGTCAATGAAATAGGGAACCCTCACAAAATTTAAGAAAATTAATTTGGCTTGAATCCCAGGACATAGTTTGATGAGAAATGGAATGGCAATATATAACCCCAACACATAGAAAAGTATCCTCCTTAGTTGGAACCAAAGCCCCTTTCGCCTGCCTAGTGCCCGCTTCATGCCCGCGTCTGCCGCGCAGCGCGGCTCCGCCGGCCCTGTGCCCGCCAGACGCAAGTTGTGCTTCAGACGGCAGGTGGCGTCCAGCGCCCCAGAGCCCGAGCCTGAGGAGGGCACGCCCGAGGAGGCGCGACGTTCATGCTCCAAGGTGATAGGCTCGGTCCGCTTTCGCATCCCGCGGCCACTGGCCGGCCGCCGAGTGCGCCAGCTGGTTTCGCCTCTCTGCTGGCAGCGTAGTCTTCACGGCCTGGTCTTGTCGCGGGTTCAGACACCTCAGCCCCTCATATCACAGCGCAGGCCCCTTCCCCGCCCACTCACCTACTGACCTTGACCTTTTCTTTTAAGGCCTTTTTACCCCTGACTGACTTTTAAATTGCTTTTTTTTTTTTTTGAAGTTGCCAAGGATTTTATTTCACTTGGATCCACAATCAATACACAAAGAAACAGTAGCCAAGAAATCAAATGACATATTTTGTTGAGTAAATATACTGTGAAAGAGCTCTTTAAAATATTTTATTTTGAAGACTAAGGCTATGTCAGAGCAAAGCTACACTAAAATGCTATAGCATTTTCAATTACTTTTCAAGCATGCAAAAGCTGAATACTGAATAAGGAAGATAAAAAAAAAGATGTCTGTGAATTGTGGTGTTGGTAAAGAATATTGAAATGAAAAATAAACAACATAATTTAAAAAAAAAAAAAGAGAGAGAGAGAGATCAGAGAATCACCAATATAAAAATACTACAAATGCCTAGTAGTGTATGCTTATCTTGCTCTCTTGTTGTTCTTAGATATTAAAAGTAGACATTCCAGTTCATACTGACTTTATGTACAGCAGAATGAAACAGTATGTCATCCTGAGAACTGTTGCTTTTTTAAGCCTATGGTTGCATTACTGTGCCAATTCATCTTGTTGAGAGTCTTCCTCTTTTTTATTTAACTGCTGCTTTACCAAGCATGATGTCCTTCTCCACGTACTAAGTCTGTCTGATAATATATTCAAAGTACATACAATGATGTCTCACTATCTTCACCACTAAGGAAAATTTTGACTCTGCTCCTTTCGAGACAGGCTTGATACGTCTTCTGGAAGTTTACCTGGAAGTAAATTGCTTTTCAGAAGAGGAATGTGGCATCAGGATTGGAAGGAGATAAACTGAGTTATGCTGATAACACAACCTTGCCTTGCTTTTGTTGCAGAAGACCAAGGAGTGCAGCCTTCCTATGTATTGCATCTCAATGTCAAGGGGAAAAAAAGATTCTTACCACTAGACTGATAGGATGGAGAAGAGATTGAAACTGTCAACAACTTCATCTGCTTGGATCCATAATTAATACCCTTGGTACCAGCAGTCAGGAAATAAGACACATTGCATTGGGAAAATCTGTAGTTAGGGATCTTTCCAAATTTTTGAGAAGCAATGATGTCACTTTGAGGACCTAAGGTGCATCTGATTCAGTCCACTGTCTTTCTGATCACTTGCTATGCATCTGAGAGCTGGACAACGAATAAGGATGACAGAAGAATAATTGACACCTTGAGCTGTGGTATTGGAGAAGAACACTGAACATCCAATGGAGAAGTTGCAGCCAGAGTGCTCTTTCGAGGAAAGAATGATCATGCTCCACTTCATATACTTTGTGCATGTTGTTAGGGGTGGGTTGGCTCTCCCTTGGAAGATAGGATCCTAGGAAGGATGGAGGGTCAATGAAGGAGAGGAAGATCCTCAACCAGGTAGACTGAGGTGATGACTGTCGTAATGGGCTTTTGTGAGTCAGGTAGTGTGCGAATGACACAGGATAGAGCAGGGTACAAGTCTTTTGCTCATAAGGTCTCTATGAGCTGTACTTGATTTGATGGCTAACAACATAATGAGAATCACTGAAAATTTAAAGTTAAAAGTTAAGCATAAATAATAACTTTAAAACAAAAGCTTTCACCATATGGCTTTTCTTTATTTTTTTTCAAAATTCCAGATAGCTTCTTTTCCAACATCTTGTTTATATGCCCAAGTGTCCAAAACTAGACTCTGCAAGGGCAATGCATTCTTGTTATTTTAAGCATTAGTATTTTCTTTTTTTTAATTATTAAATTTTATTAATTTTAATGAACATTTACAGAGATTTTGGGTTTTCATTCATTCATTGTTGCACTATTTTCTCTACCCAGTTTGTTCTTCTTCCCCTCTTGAAAGTCTGTTTTAATTGTCCCATTGCCACAGTGCTTGTCAAAGCCAGTTCTGATTAATCTCTTTTGTCAGTGTGTCCTTTGCCATTCCCTATCACTCCTCCCTGAAAGAGACTTCACCCTGATTCATAAGGAAAAGGGGATGGCGTATTCTCTTAGCTACTTCCTGCTGAAAAGGGACGCTGTGGCTTTCAGTATTTTCTTAAAAAAAACAACCCCAAAACAACCTAGTAAGATTGCTAAAAATGTCATTCTATTTTCTGTTATGTTAGTTTTATTGTACTAATGCCATTATATTAACTACCGATGATATTTCTTTGTTACCAGATTATAGATTATGTAAATGCTTTAATTATCCACTTACAAAAGTAAAAAATATGAACTATAAATCTCCAGAAGTTTCAAGTACTAGGAATGTTAATAAATTTCCTAAAAGTTGTGTAGGTTATTGAATGAAACCTCTGTGTTGCCTGCAGCCAAACTGCAAATTTGCTCCATTTGTAAGTGGCAAGAGAAATGTGAATCTTTGTCAGAAGTTACTAAACAGTTGTAAAAATGCATATGAATTTGTGATAATTAATTAAACAATTGTAGAAGGCATAAGAAAGTATGTGTAAATCTCTGGCTGAGGAGAAGGATGGTAAGAGTAGTACTCTTCCAGAAGGAAAGAAATTAGGTTGGTCTTAAAGTAGAAGGTCTATTGTTTTTTCCCAGTAAGAATAAAAGACTCAAAAGTAAGAGTGAGTGAATAAAATGTAAGAGTAAGTGATAAAAGTGTTTTTTTTTCTTTTTTTAGTTTTAGTTTTTTTAAGTGTCCTATCAACCAAAAAAAAAAAAAAAATAATGAGGCTAGGGTGATCAAACGTCAGAAGTCTAATAAATTAAAAAGTGTCACTTTTACAGCTTAACAGGGATGCTGAGGCAAGATGACAGTGAAGCAATACTGTCTCAGTTAAAGAAGTTCCAGCTCATGTATGTTCGAATCATCAATCATTTTTACAGCTGGAATCATCCACTTGGTCAGAGAGTTCAGGGACAGGGAAGCAGAGAATGGTGGCTACTCCAGTCAATTGGCTGAGCTGCTCCCCAGACACGTGGTTGTTGTTATGTGCCATTGAGTCACTTGCGACTCACAGCGACCCTATGTACAACAGCCCTAAACTCTGCTCTGTCCTGTGCCA